TATCCCATATGAATAAAATCCCTGCCCCTCATGTTAATGAGAATGTAACCAAAAAGGTGCATTATTACATTTATGGCTCATATCCCTCAATATAACATTCCAGGCGCCAAATCCTAAAACACTAGGTGCTCAGGTTAATAAACAACAAATAGTTTCCAAAGATGTGTTAGTCTATTGAAGCATAAAAAGGGGGAAATGTGTGTGTGCATGGGGTGGGGTGGAAGCTAGCACTTTTAAAATTAATTGATTTTTATTTTAACATGAGCTTTCATGGATATCAATCTACTTCTTCAGATGCAGTTCAGAGTAATATTAAAGACTCAGGTTATAGAGCATATTTATACAATTGTGGGAGTGAAATAGAATTTAACAGGAACCAGAAAGGATCCAAAAAGATGCAGATCATGATCCTTCCCACAAACATTCAAAGGTTTGTGTAGTGTATGCCTTTCAGATCTTTGGTCAGTTAGTATTAATGTGGTAAAGCAACAAATCTACTTACCAAAAGGCATTTCTTTGCAGTCAAAATCTTGTCTATCAAGCCTCTTTTTGGAGTATGTGCAGTAGGGCAGATTCATGTATTAATTAAATTAATATATGCAGTGCACCATGAAGCCATTATTTTTGTTCATACCTCTGCTAGTGAATTAGAATTTGTGGATATAATTCAGTTCAGCTTCTTTCCAGTCTTCCTTTGTAATTTCCTTGTTTGAGAATTGCAACCTATAGCAAATATGCAAGGGGTACTGGAGCATCAATAGTACAATCCACACTGCAGAAATAATCTCGTCTGAGACTACCTTAACTGCCCTGGCTCAGTGCTACAGAATCAGGAAATTGTAGTTTATTGTGGCTTCAGAACTCTCTAACCAAGAAGGCTCAATGTCTCACAAAACTACAGTTCCCAGAGTTCCCTAGCACTGAGTCAGGGCAGTTAAAGCGGTTTCAAACGGGATTATGTCTGCAGTGCGGATTGTTGAGGCCTTGCCTCAACAGAACAATATCCAGATTTACATGGTAATCCTCCCAACCAAGGCTCACACAGTATACCGTACTTTCCGGCGTATAAGACGACCCGGCGTATAAGACGACCCCCCATTTTCCCAGTCAAAATATAGAGTCTTAGCACCTCCACCCTCCTTATCATACCCGGCGTATAAGACGACCCCCCCACTTTAACCACAGATTTTGCAGGTTAAAAAGTAGTCTTATACGCAGGAAAATAAGGTATATACCCCACACACCTGCATGCCACCATTCTCTGAAGATACCAGCCACAGATACAGGCAAAACATCAGGAATATATTCTTCTAGAACACAGTCTCTCAGCCCCCCAAACCCACAAAAACCTATGAAATGGGATTATTTCTGCAGCGTGTTTTGGACCTATGCAACTAACAGAGAAAGAAGTTGGTAGTATAAGTTTTGGTACACCAATAGCATCACTGGGGAGTGCAGTGGGTGCAGGCCTCATCGGGTGACACCTCAGAAGGAGGGTGAAGGGGTGACACCCGGTTGGTCCCCTGCTCCCCATGGGGCCTTCCCAGGACCTTGGGCCCACTCTCAAGGTTGCCGCAGGGCCTTCCGGGCCACTCTTTGGGCCGCTGTGAGGCTGTCTGTGAGATTCTCCAGTGCGTGCCCATGTGTGCTCACTCCCATGCAGCGCACATGCCAGAAGTCCCACCCCCAGAAGCCCCCCACATTGGGTGTCACCAAGTCGGGGGGCGCCACTGTGGTAGACTTCAGTCTTCTTACTCAAGTGCTACTCAAATGCATCTGAGGAAGTAGAACAAAGTCTACAAAAGCTTCTATTACAACTTCTTTCTTTCTTTCAGTTAGTGTCAAAGATGCTACAATACCCCTTCACATACTTACCTAGATTAACATGGTAAAATCTTTGAATTCTGTAACAAACAGTGTTTGATAACAGACTTTTGCTAGAATTCAAAGATATAGCCGTGTTAGTCTGTAGAATCAGTATGGAGAGAGATTTTGTAGCACCTTTGACACTAACTGGAAGAAAGAAGTTGGCAGCATGAGCTTTCGGAGACTAAAGTCTACTTCCTCAGATGCTTTTGGATTGCACCAAATTCATTTGAGGAGATAGGCTTTAGTGTAGGAAAGCTCAGCCTGGCAACTTCTTTCTTTCAGTTAGTCTCAAAGGTGCTACAAGATCTCTCTCCAGACTTTTGCTATTGTCCCTCTTTGAGGGAAAGAACAGAGCTTGTAAGCATTAAAATTTCTCTTTTTGGCTCTTCCTAGCAAAAGTAGTGGTAGCTAAACATTGGAAATTGGAATAGAAAATAACCATGTTGATGTGCTGCAGGAAAATAGGGATTTGGCTTTAAGTGGAAAATTAGCTGAAAGAGGGTTCAAATCCCAGCTCAGCCATGTAAACCAACTGGGTGACCCTGGCCAAGTCACAGTCTCTCAACCTCAGGGGATGGCAATGGCAAACCCCCTCTGAAGAAACCTGCCAAGAAACCCCCATGGTAATTCACTTTAGGGTTGCCATAAGTTGGAAATGACTTGAAGGCACACAACAACAACAACACTGAGACAAGTGTGGTGCAGTGATTTGTACGCCGGACTATGAGTCTGGAGACCAAGGTTCAAATCCCATTTTGGCCATGTAAACCCACCAGGTGACCTTGGGCATGTCACATTCTCTCAGCCTCAGAGGATGGCAATGGCAAACCCCTTCTGAAGAAACCTGCCAAGAAAACCCCATGATATGGTCACCATAAATCAGAAATGTCTTGAAGGTGTAGACATTAAGAGGACCATATTTATTGAAACATGGATATCATAGTAGGCCTTTCTGGACCACACTGGTGAATCTGGAAAGGATTGCTGGGCACGGCTTGAATTCTGAGGGAAAACAGTGATGCCATATTGGGACTTTCTGACCAACATTGCCTTTGTGTAGTGGAGTCCCTATACAAGAGATGCACCGAAGGGCAGGAGTGTGGCCCAGCGATGCCAAGCCTTACCAATTCAGATGATTGGAAAGCATGTGCCATCTCACAGCAAGGGGCTGCTCCCAATTTAAAAATCCCACAACAACCCAAAATGGTACACAAAGGGGAAGAGCTCTCCATTCATCTTGTGTGTGTGTCTGACCACCAGCCATGTAGCTGAGGAAAGCAATCAGGTTGCAGGCAGTCCCTCCTTCTGCCTTCATTCCAAACCCAAAGCAGACTGCCAGAAATAGTTCACATTAAATTGAGGCACTGCCCTGGCTCAGTGCTAGGGAATCATGGGAATTGTATTTTTTTCTGAGACATTGAGCCTTCTCTGTCAGAGAGCTCTGTTGCCACAATAAATTACAGTTCCCATGATTTCCTAGCACTGAGCCAGGGCAGTGCCTCAATTTAATGTGCACTATTTCTGGCAGTCTGCAAAGGCCCTTAGGGTCTTTGCAGACTGCCAGAAATAGTGCAAATTGAGTCCACTTTAAGGGTTAGGGTTAAGGTTAGGGAATCATGGGAACTGCATTTTATTGTGGCACCAGAGCTCTCTGACAGAGAAGGCTCAATGTCTCAGAAGAAAAAAAAAACAATTCCCATGACTCCCTAGCACTAACCCTAACCCTTAAAGTGGATTCAATTTGCACTATTTCTGGCAGTCTGCAAAGGCCATAAGTTTGGGGAAGGAGAGGCGGCCCAGGCTAACCATGTATGGGAAAAAAAACTCCTCTTCATGTGTTGATGTTAAAGGCGTCACACTGAGAAGCTTGGCACATTTCTAAATCATGATTCAAAATACATAGGCAGAGAGCCAGTGTAGTGTAGTGATTTGACTCTGGAGACCTGGGTTCGATTCCCTGCTTGGCCACTGAAACACACTGGGTGACCTTGGGTGAGTCACACTCTCTCAGCCTCAAGGGAAGGCAATGGCAAATCTCCTCTG